GTGTGTGTGTGTTGTGTGTTGTATGTGTTGTGTGTTGGTGGGATGTGTGATAGTGTGTGTGTGTGTGTGTGTGTGTGTGTATATGTGTGTGTGTGTGTGTGCTTTCCCGCCCTCATCAGCGTGGCCTTCACGCCCCCATTAACATGATCGAACAGTCTCAGCCCCCAACCCGCTCTCCACGTGCTCTGGTACATCCAACACCACCCTGCCCCCCTCCCCCCCATATTTCATTGCAAGCTTGTAGATTTCCTCCTGAGACCGCCTCCACGTGAGTCTCGTAAAGTACTCATTCGTCTGTTGAACTCTGAATGTTTTGCCCTTGAGATTCAGCGTCCCAGAGTGGGCACACGCAGCCCCTCGTTCGTTTACTGCCACAAACTCTAGTATTAAATTGGTCGCTTTTAAGGACAAGGGGGGTAGCCCAGATTTCCGGGGTTTCCAGAAACCTTGACCTACAACCACAAGTGGGCATTGCCTTACCTATAGGAGAAGTTTGGTTTCATTGGTGTGTATCCTTGTTTGGTTATAGAGAAAACTCTCCTTGTCTTTTAAAGAGACTGAACAAGGGGCAAAAACTCTACATTCGGTTTTCTTAAAACATCATTTCTTGGGATAGCCCCCCTTGTGGTTAAAAGCGACGACAAAATTATAACCTCTTTGCACCCACCCCACCACCCTCGCGCAGGATGTGGTTCTGATGAGAGCCTTACGGGACATGAACTTGCCCAAGTTTGTGTTTGAGGACGTCCCGCTGTTCCTGGGCCTCATCTCGGACCTGTTCCCGGGTCTGGACTGCCCCAGGGTACGCTACCCAGACTTCAACGACGCTGTGGAGCAGACGTTTACGGACAACGGCTATATCCTGCTACCTGTTCAGGTTAGGGACATGTGACTAGATCTAGTACCTGTTCAGGTTAGGGACATGTGACTAGATCTAGTACCTGTTCAGGTTAGGGACATGTAACTAGTCCCTGTTCAGGTTAGGGACATTTGACTAAAAGGATTATTGTCTGTAATTGTAGGCTTTTTATTGTTGTTGTAGGCTTTTTATATGGCATAGGTTTATTACTTTTGTTTAATAGAAGTTTGCTTTTTTGAGAGCCGAAAAAATAGAAAGGGAGGGGGGGGGGCTGGGCTGGTGTGGGAGGGGCTAGAACGTTTCATCAGCATCTGTGTTGAAAAGGTATCTGTTTTGCCGTTGGATGTATAAGATGTGAGCTTGACTTGTGCATGGGAAAGTTGGAAAGTTGGAATTTTTTTCGAAAATCTCCATCTATCTGGTGGAATATTGTGCCCCACCCATTTCGATTCAGTGGCGTTGGTGGCCTGGTGGTTAGGCTACCGGACTCGTAATCGTGAGATTGAGAGTTGGGGAGTTCGAGCCTCAGCTCGGTCCGACACAGTGTCCTTTGGAAAGGCACTTTACTTTACACGAATTTCTCCCTTGGCTTGGTCCATTTGGAAAATAACCTAACAGTGTTGATAGGGGCGTTAAACCTATACCATTTGTGTCTGTGGGAAAGGCACTTTACACGAATTTTCCCCACTTCACCCAGGTGAAAATGGGTACCCAC